AACTGCAAATAAAGCTTCTCAAATAAGACGTTTCAGAAAATAAGACCCAAATAAGGCAGGATGTTAGGATCTAGCATCATATGTCCCTAACAGTGTCTAGATTTGTTAATATTGGTAATTCAAGGTAGATTTAAGCAATGATATTTATCCAGCTAATGGATAAATCTTCAGCAGGCTCTAATTTTGTTGTATCATTTAGGTGACATCTACATAATCCTATAGCAGATGGCTGACAAGAGCATCTCAGACAGCCTGGCTGTGACAAACAAGACAGTATGTGGATTCAGCTAGGTCAGGATTGTGTAGAATCAGCCCTAGAAGCTGAGACCAAGACATTGTGGCATAAACAGGAGGAAAACCACTGGGATTCTAGTAGGAGGTCTCCAGGGGCTGCTGGACCCTCCATGGTCTTAATGATAAAGCCTGCCTTGTACACTTAAGCACGTGACTTTGTATGGAAGATGCATCCCCAAGAATTTAAGTAGTGAATTTTTTTCCCCTCAATTACTGTGGCAATCAAATGTACAGTTGTCTTGTTCTCCCTCTGCACTAGTTTCCTAGCACTACTGTAACAACCACAAACTGGGTGGTTTAAAACAACAGAGATTTATGGAGGCTAGAAGCGTGAGACTAAGGGGTGGGCAGGACTATGTCCCCTCTGAAGGCTCTTGGGAAGAATCCTTCCTAGCCTCTTTCTGGCTCCAGACAGTCCTTGGCATTCCTTGGCTTGAAGCTGCACCACTCCAGCCTCTGCCTGTGTTGTCACATGGCCTTCTTCCCTGTGACTCCATGTTCTCTCCCTCCTTATAGCAATACTAGTGATTGGATTTAGGGCCCACCCTCATCTAGTATGATCTCATTTCAGTCCTCTTCTAAAACCTAAGCAAAGACCCTATTTATACATAACAATCATGTTCTGAAGTTCTAGGTAGATGGAAGTTTTGGTGGACACTATTCAATCTACTCCACCCTCTTAATTCTGCTTTTAATTTTTACTTTGTATTATTTTTGAGACAGAGTCTTGCTCTGTCACCCAGTCTGCAGTACAGTGACATGATCTCGGCTTACTGCAACCTCCACTTCCCAGGTTCAAGCAATTCTACTGCCTCATCCTCCCAGTAGCTGGGATTACAGGTGTGCACCACCACATGCAGCTAATTTGTGTGTGTGTGTGTGTGTGTGTTTAGTAAAGATGGGATTTCACCATGTTAACCAGGCTGGTCTCAAACTCCTGACCCCAAATGATCCACCCACCTCGGCCTCCCAAAGTACTGGGATTACAGGCGTGAACCACCGTGCCCCGTCTCTGCTTTATGTTCTTAGTACTCCTTCCATTCACCATTCTTCAATAACTATTTTAAAGCTTATTAAGACTAAATTTTGTTAAGAATGCCTATCAGGCATATAAGTTATATAAACTGCTATATTATTTAACTGAACCATGAACTTTCTGATAAAATGACAAAGAAATCATTTTTTGTACTAAGATATTCCTAAATCCATCTTTTTATAGAAAAATTGAAAGCCCATCTGAGTGTCTACCAGTGGGGAATAGTTTGATATAGAAAATCAATGTGACATTACCCATTTACTAAAAATAGTTTTCAGAACTATGCAGATATAATATATGCATCAATGAAAAAGCAGGTTATATAACTCTAAATAAACTGTGGAAAAAAATGTATTCATGTGCAAAAATTACACAAAAGTATACAAAACTGCTTGGTTAGGATAGAAGGATCATTTCATTCTTTAATGTCTGTCTTTATTGATTCTGTAACTTGTTTTAAGTAATTAAAGTGTTATCTGTTATTCCTATGGAAAAGACTACCAGTTATTCCTCAAAAATGCCATATACTCTCTTCAGGCCCCCAGGCTGATTACATGCCATTAAAAATGAGCGAGTGTTTCCTACCCATCCAGTCCTGTGTGTTATCACTGAAATGGGCCATTGGGATTGGATACTTGACAAAACATATCCGACGTGGGAGTGTACAGAGAAGCATAGACCAAGTATATCTCCTGCAAAGAAGGGCAGAAAAGTTTAATGGATACAAGTGAAGCCTCACTCTGCCTCATAATGGTGTGGACAAGTGGCAGGAAGAGGCGTTTGGGAGTCAGGCACAAAGAGTTGCACTAAAAGTCTAGGTTGGTCAAATTGTGTCCTCATGTGCTGAAGGACCTTAGTCATGCCCGCTTCGTGGCATCCTGATGACGGTGAGAAAGCCATGTGGTTCTCCTAACGCAGCATCACCTCGTGGGTGACCAGTGACCACAGGGCAGAGGGATGCTGAGCAGAAAGGACATGAATTGGCATCAAAGGAGTCTTCCGAACATTGCATTTCCTCTCTAAGCAATGAAGGTAAACCCTGTGTCTCCTCCAGACACTACTGACTGAAGAGAGATATCAGCACCATCAGCACCACTAAAAGTAATGTTGGGAGCCAAAGTGTTGCCATGAGATTCACCGAATGGTTGTGGAGAGAGATAGCAGCAGTATAATGCAGAGATCTTGCTGCCACCTCCTGAACCTACTTAAGGATCTTAGCATCACAACAAGTGGGACAACCAGCCTTTATATCCCTCAATGCGATGCATATAAAGTCACAGCACCTCATAGAAGTACCCTTAACGAAAGATGTCAAGAGGGATTGCTGTAGATTAAAATTGACTTAAGAACCATAATTATCAGAGACATAGTATGAAATTTGGTACCTTGATTCAAACAATGTAACTATAAATAGGGGAAATATTAAGATGGACTGTGTATTATATCATAGGAAAGAATTATGCCAATTTTGTTGGATACAACATTGGGATGGTTGGCTCCAAACTAAATTTAGAGCTGCAGAGACAAGTTATTAAGAATTAAATTTTCTGATATATGGAATTCACCTTAATATATTTCAACAGAGAAGAAAGAGAAAAAATGAAAGGAATATAAAGGAAATGTGGCAAACAAATGTTTATAATTGTTGGGTTGTCATCATAAATATATGAGCGGTTATTGTACTTTTCTCTCCACTTTTGTGTATACTTGAAATGTTTTATAACAAAGAGTTTAAAATAGATAAATAAATTCCTAGAATATTAACTTGCCAAAAATTGTTGTCTGTGATTTTTTTTTTTTTCCTGAGCAAGATTTAAGAGCTAATTTTTCCACAGCTGTTGTTGACAGGCAAAGAGTTCTTTGGGATCATGAGTGATAAAAACAGACCTTTTCACATGCCACTGCTGGGAGAATCAACTGATGCAATTTTGGTGGAGTGCAATTTGGCAATAACTACCATAGGACAAATACCCTTACCCATCATTCTAACTTCTAAGAATCTATTCTATAAATATATGTGGAGGTATGCTATGAAATGTTCAAAGGCATTCCCTACAATGAATGTTCAAAGACATTCACTGCAATGATACTTTAATAGCAAAGAACTGAAAGGACAAGTTGTCTACCAATAGGCAACTGGAAATTATTATAAGAAATTATCTTAATATTATAATTAATTATAAGAAATTATCACTGTTCAGAGAATGGAAAGTTTAAGCAGCCCTTATAAATAATGTATTAGAGCTATATTGCCAATATGAGATTGTTTCCCAAGATATCTGACATTAAAAAATGGTGCAGAAAACTATGAACCCATTTGGAGTTTTAAAAAATGTCTGAATGGATACAAGAAATGGATAATAATAGTTACCTTCTGGGCATAGGATTAGCAGGAAAGAAAGTTTTCACTTTTCATTTTATATATTTGAATGTTTACCACGTGCCAATGTTATTTTATTTATTTATTTATTTATTTATTTATTTATTTATTTATTTATTATTCTGAGATGGAGTCTCACTCTGTCACCCAGCCTGGAGTGCAATGGCACGATCTCTGCTCACTGCAACCTCCGCCTCCTGGGTTCAAGTGATTCTCCTGCCTCAGCTTCCCAAGTAGCTGAGATTACAGGCATGTACCACCAAGCCCGGCTAATTTTTGTATTTTTAGTAGAGACAGGGTTTCACCATGTTGCCCAGGCTGGTCTTGAACTCCTGACCTCAGGTGATCCAACCGTCTCACCCTCCCAAAGTACTGAGATTACAGGCGTGAGCCACTGCCTCTGGCCAACCATGTGCAAATGTTACTTTCTGTTATAAAAAGGAAAAGAAAAAAAATTGAAACCGAGAGAATTATGTGCCCTGAGTACTGAGAATGTTATCTTAAGAGTTATCCTAAGATTGTAATTAGGAAGGTGATTCTGTTAGGGAAAATTTTATAAACTTACACAGTATTTAAAATGTATAAATTATGGAGGGTTTCAAGTTAACAAGAATAATTTTGCCTTCTATAGTAAGAGTAAATTGTACACAATTATATGCAACTCTGAAAGTACTTTGAAATCTTCAAATGACATTAATATAAAATATGAAATTCTACTGTCTTTTAAGTTCAGGTTATACCTGAGGAAACACTAGAGAAAGATTTCATTTTGTCTACCATGGAACCAAAATTGACTTTGAATATGTATTATCCTTCTGTATCAAAAAATAAGACCTACCTGCCTCAGGTACTTTTTATGTTCATCATCTCATTGAATTATCATGATTATTCTGCAGGGCAGGTGGTATCCACCCTAATTTCCAGATAAAGAAACTGAGGCTGGGGACATTAATCAACTTGCTGAAAATCACACACAAGTGAAAAAACAGTCAAGAACCCACACTCTTCACTCGGTTTGTCCTGACACTCTGCCTCTTTCATATAGGGAAAAACTAAAGGGAAAAAAGAGACAATAAAAGCATCATCTGGTCTTTGGCCCTTGCTTTTACTCCTTTCTTGTTTTCTGCAACTAGCTGTGCCTTCCTCAGTGTGTCTTATGTCCTAGGAAAAGATTGTTAACAGAAAGCACAACAGGTATCCAGGATTGTAGTTTATTAAACAGAGTTTTCTTGAATATTTTCAGTAAAACAGAGAATTAACAGCTCATTGGGTTTTTTTCTTTTTCCCTAGATATTGTGGATGCTTTATCAGATCCAAAGAAATTTCTCTCAATTACAGAAAAGAGAGCAGACCAAATGAGAGCTATGGGCATTGAAACTGTAAGTAGAAATGGTTGATTAAAGATGGCCAAGTTGTGGGAGTTTCATTATCAAACAGTGTTTACAAAAGCAAGATAAAGTAATGAATTAGCAAATTTAAGGAGTAATGAATTAGCAATTTTAAAACTGAGCTCATCAATTCAACAATAGTTGACTTTCTACAAAAGTGTGGCATGTTTAATAAAATGTGACTACCATCAGAAAAATCTACTTCATCATCAGTGGCTTAACTCACATCTGGGGACCCCTTCCCCATGAGAAAGTAAATGAAAAACATTTTGTTATGCTTTTAGGAAAGTTTAAAATGTAGGTGGAGCATTTCTAATCAGAAAATCCAACATCTGAAATGTTCTAAAATTCAAAACTTTTTGAGTGCTGTCATGAGATAGTCATACCTTTGTTTTTTGAAGGTTCACTGTGCATAAACTTTCTTTCATGAACAAAATTACTAAAAATATTGTATAAAATTACCTTCAGGCTGTGTATAAGATGTATATAAAACATTAATGAATTTTCTGTTTAGACTTGGGTCCCTTCCCCAAGATACCTCATTATGTATATGCAAATGTTCCAAAATCTGATATCCAAAACATTTCTGATCTCAAGCATTTTAGATAAAGAATATTCAAACTGTACTGTACAGGACGTTTCTGTGATACACTAAAATACCAGTTATCCCAGTTTAGTGAATTAATGATAATTGCTTTCTATTTTTAGTTATTTATTTTTTAACAGATAGGATCTCGCTGTGTTGCCCAGGTTAGAGTGCAGTAGTGTGATCATAGCTCACTATGAACTTAAACTCCTGGATTCAAGCCATCCCTCTACCTCAGCCTCCTGAGTAGTTGGGACTACAGATGCGTGCCACTGTGCCTGGCTAATTTTTTTTACTTTTTTTGTCAAAACAGGGTCTCACTCTGTAGCCTAGGTTGGTGTCAAAGTCTTGACCTCAAGCAGTCCTCCCACCTTGACCTGCCAAAGCATTGAAATTACTGGCGTGAGCTACCATGTCCAGTCAAAATGGCATTTATTACTGATTTTTCACTGTTTGCCAGCCTTGCATCCCAACCTTCTCCCGTTCCAGTGCACATGTGGGTTGTTTCTTTGTTTTTAAATGTTATCTTTACCAAAATCCTCAGTTTGGAATGGATGTAGCATCTCTCCAATAGCTAGAAAAAGAGAAAGTATTCTCTGCTTGTTAATAAGTTGGATCTTCTTTCCTTGGCTGGATCCTTTGCCTTTAAGAGAGTAGAAGTCTAGGAAGGGTATAGTAGAAGTTTACAGTAAAATAAAGAATGTACAAGATATTTGACCTTGAGTGACATTCGTTTGGGTCAATGTAAATGTTTCTGTTCTAGAGTGACATAGCCGATGTGCCCAGTGACACTTCCAAAAATGACAAGAAAGGAAAGGCCAATACCACCAAAGCAAACGTGACCCCTCAGAGTAGCTCTGAGCTCAGACCAACCACCACAGCTGCCCTGGCCTCTGGTGTGGAAGCCAAGAAAGGTGAGAGAGAGCCATTGGGCTCCTTTTCTTCTGCACGCACCTTAATTACACAGGGTACAATATCTATAGCTTTAGGAAATATATAAATTCGAAGTTCTTTGTGGGAAAGAACCTTTTACACAGTGATGTTAACTAATTCATCCCCACTCTCTTCCAGACCCTCCCATAGGTACTTATCTGGACAGGCAGTGGGCTCATGAACCAACAGAGTTATCACTATTGGACATTTCTAAATTCTCATACTGATAATTTCCCCCCATAAGTAGATGTTTAGCATCCATGATTATTTGTTTGTAAAATTATCAAATGAGCATTTGAAGGCCAATTCCATGTGTTTACCTGTGGATGAAAAGAAAGATCGTTAAGAGTTGTCATCAGCCAGTGTGTAGGGAAACAACTGTGCTGGTTATTTTAATTGGTTTCCATTCTAATTGGTCAGACATCCCTTGATTGGGTGGTGCCCATTCCATATTGGAGGGAAAGGGGGCAGGGAGAATGCTGATAGGGAGTGGCAAGGAGTTCATCTTTCCTGTTCTGGAAAGAATTCTGGGGTCACCCTGAGAAGGTCTTGGGAAATGAGTCAAAGGAGTGTTTTAAGAAAATTATAGTCTTGGCAGAAGAATTCATTGAAAGTGGGCATGCTAAGGGCCAGGTAAGAATTATGACACTCCTGCTTCTGTTATAACACACCTATCACATTGTGTTGATAGAGTATTACCAACCAGAGAATGAGGTTATTGCAGGTGAGACCACACCTCATTATCAGTGTGTCCCTGGAACCATGCCTAGTTAAGATATAGTAATCTATTTTCTTGGGAAGTAAAGGGCTGTTTAATGAATGATAGGGACAAGGAAGTCTGGATTAAGTTGGAAATTGTCAAAAGGAAGGAAGAATAGAAATAAGTTGGCAGCTTGGATATGGGCCTTAGGGAGAAAGGGGCTTTGTGGTAACTCAGACTTCACGGACAAATCCCAGAGATAGATGGTACCATTGAGAGAAGTAGAGGAGTTAGGAGGAGGAGCTGCTTTTGGTAAAGACGATGATTTTGGTCCTGTATATCACTGAAGTCAAGCTGTTGCTGATACATTTGGGCAGAAATATGCACTTAACAAATCTATGCCAGGTAGAGAAGAAGAAGGAGGGATAGAGAAACAGAATAAGTGTACTTAGAAGGCAGAATGAATGGGAAAAAAGAAAAAAGAGAGGTCTATGTTCTAAGAAGAATTAGTTTTGAAAAGATGCTGTAGATAAGTCCAGAGAAGTGAAGACTACAAAATTATTGTTGAACCAGCAATGATTGGATGATGACGGTATAAACACGGTTAGAAAAATATGAGACATAATTTAAGACATAAGATAGTTGTTCTGGAGGACAGTAGCATGTTGGTAGGAACTAATAAGGGAAAACAAGGAAAATGCAAAAGAGAGTACATGGTAAAACAAGACCATAAGGAAGATCTGAATCAACAAAAAGCGTGAAATTCAGCTGGATAAGGAAGGAAGAGATATGTTCTGTCTGAACCAAGAAGAATGATGAGTGAATAGAAGCTTCAGGATAGACAGGAAGAATTCTGACAGATGGTGTATCAGTCAGCTTACGCTGCATAACAAATGACCTCAAATTTTAGTAGCTTAAGACAACCACCATTTATTGAGATCATGTTTCACTGGGTTGGTTGATCTAAACTGGCTTGGCTAATCTCTGTGTCTTGTTATGCACCTGTGATCAGCTGATAGGTTGACTGGAAGGTAGATGTGGGATGACCTTATGCACACCTCTGTCGTTTGGCAAGTTGTTTCACATCATCCTGAAGCCTGAGCAGGCTTATTCGTATGGTACTCCCTGAGTTTAAAGAGCAGCCCTTTTCCAGCCTCTGCTGGTATATCATTGGCCATAGCAGGTCACAAAGTGAACCAATATTCAAGGGGTAAAGAAGTAGACTCTACCTCTTGATTAGAGGGGAAATAAATAGTGGCCATTTTTGTAGTATAACATAGATAGATTCTATCTGATCTAAGAAGTTGGTTAGGTAGCTACTCTCTGCTGAGAAAGGTAGAGGTAGAACTGAAAAACAACAATATAGAAAAGCTTTGGAGTTGCCACTGTCTGGAATAGAACGATCCACAAGAAATAAGGAGGAGGTCTGCCACATAGCACACAGGACCCTGGTGAGGGTTGGGTGGTGTGTATTAAGTTGATGTAGCTTGATCTCATTACTTCTTCAGCAGTGCCCAGAAACTCAGCAACAACTATGAACAAAGTACAGCTTAGGGAATTGCAAGCCTGAAATTATCATAATGTGTATGGTCTGGGACCAAAAGATTGAAGAGCATTAAGTTATGACATTGTAACAGTGGGCTATTGCTGTGTAACAAGCAACTGCAAAAGTCAGAAATTTAAATAAAGTAAGCATGTATTATAGCCCATGAGGTTGTCTGGGTGGCTTTTCTGGTAATGGGTGGATTAGTATCAGTGACTCAGCTAATCTTAGCTATGCTTATTCAAATGTTTGGGGTTCAGCTAAGGTGTTATTGGCTGGGACAAGTGGGCTGTCTTCCTTGTGAACTCTCATCTTTCATCAGCTTAGCCTGGGCTTGTTCACATGGCAGTTGTAATGTTCTAAAATGGAGGTGAAAGTACAGATGCTGCTTGACTTATGACAGAGTTACATCCTCATGAGCTGAACATATCGTTAAGTCAAAAATGTGTTTAATACCTAAGCTACTGAACATCATAACTTAGCTTAGTCTAGCCTATTTAAAATGTGCTCAGAACACCTACATTAGTCTACAGTTGGGCAAAATCATCTAACACAAAGCCTATTTTATAATAAAGTGTTAAATATTTCATGTAACTTATTAAGTGCAGTACACTGTAGAGTATACAGCTGACTGAGAGCTGAGGCTTGCTGCAGCCCCAATGCATATCTCTAGCTTAGGAAAAGATCAAAATTCACAATTCAACATATGCTTTCTACTGAATGCATATCACTTTTGCATCATTGCAAAGTTGAACCACTGTAAGTTGGGGACCATCTGTATGTCAGGTTCCTTGATGAGTCCTAGACTTAGAACTGGCATGACATCCTTTCCACTACATTCCATCATCCCAAGCAAGTCACATGGCCCAGCCCAGATTCAAGAGTTGGGGAAACAGATTCCACATCTTAATGGGAGGAGTTCCAAAGTCACATGTAAGTAGGTGTGGAAACAGGGAGGGGTAGAATTTTTTGGCCATTTTTGCACTCAGTCTGCCACCCTGATCATAATTTATAGGTTAATGTTCCGGGGGGTAGATACTAGAGGAGAGAGACTTTGCTAGGAAAGGAAAAGGTTAAAGGGAACCAGAAACAAGATGAAAGTAAAAAGCTTGCTTGGTAGGTGTAAGGGAGTGAGTGAAGTTGGCAGGATAGAGATTGCAGTCAGAAAGAGGTACCTCTAAGTACGTGTCTTGGAGGAGGGGCAGTTTCAAGCAGTGTTAACATCCCATTTACAACTGTCAGTGGGAGGTGACGTAAAGTGGAGATGAAGATTTCTAGAATGGAAGGCATCATGGAAATAGAAAGGAAAGTCACCCAGCATATTCTTCTCACGCATATTGAATCACTGTGTTGGATGTCTGGGAGTGCCTGCATAGGAAAACCACAAGTCAGATACTGAAGTTCATGGGGCAGGGCAGTGTGTGACCTAGAAGGACACACGTGGAGGTAGCTAGCCTCAGCAGAGCCTGGTGTAAGTGAGAGGTCTGTTCTTTTGTATGATAGCTTTTAGGAGAATGGCATGGAGGTACAAGAGAGAAGTTTGTAGGTGTTTTTCCCACGCCTCTCCATGGATTGGGGTGGAGTGGGGAGTAAACTCTACTCCAGGAGCCTTTGGGGGAAGAGATGTCATTTGAGAAAGCAAGCTTCCATTTCTTTCCAGAAAACTGTCTTAATTTGAGTCACCCCAAAGCAGACCCTGAGAGAAGGCTTCCAGTGCAAGTAGTTTATTCTAGGATGCAGTGGACACGGATAGAGGTGTGAAGAAGTGACACCAGGGAGGGAAGGCAGTCAGTAATTAGAATGTTTTAAAGCCAGTTGCCAGGAGGCACCTGGAACTTAATGTCCTGGAGAAACTGTGGGGGCTAGTATTGCACATACTTTTCAGATGTCTCCTCTTAGAGGGAAGAGGGAGCTGGGGAATATATACCCTGACTCCTGTCAGCCTTTTCTTGAGGGTTCCCGTGGAAGGGATAAATTTCTCGACTTTCGGACGCTGGCAATTGGAAGTGAACTAGAAGAGCTGATGTAGAGAGGGCATGGTGTGTGGCTGGAGCAGACAGCGTTTGCTACAGACATCTATGAAGGTGGGGAGGTGTGAAATTCCAAACGGTTTTTCTTAGACATTCAGCCAAACGGCAACGACTGCAACAACACAACTTTATTTTTCTTTCTGATTTTAAGAACAAAGGATTAAGAAAATCCAGCTCCTAATTTCCAGATTAGCGATTAAGAGAAAACAAGTTATTGTTAGGGAACTATGCTGATATGAACAAAAATTTTATGTAGTGAAACTTCAATTAGCCAAAACCTTTGGGGCCCCAAATGTGCTGCCTAACCTACTTTCATACCAGGGAAGCCTGTAGACCTGCAGGGTCCTATATAGTAGCCACTAACCACATGGGGCTACCACTAACCACATGGGGCTATTTGAATTTCTTTAACAATTAACTTAAAAGTTAAACCTTGAGTTCCTCATTCACACTAGCCACATTTCAGGTGCTCAAGAGCCACAGGGGGCTAGAGGCTGTCAGTTGGACAGACCCATGCGTGGAACATTCCCATTATCATGCAAAGCTCTATGGGGAAGCCTGTTCTCCGCACGCAGATGGAACTGTCCTCTTCTGTAGAATGTGGGTATTTTTTCTAACTAAATCACTTATGGGAACCAAAATTTTTACAAATTGTGTCTTTCCCCCAAAACACAAAACCAGGTAATTGAGGGAAGTTTATGTTTTTGTAGGTTTCTTTTAATCAAGACTTAGCTGAACCAAGAACAAAAAATAAAATAAAAATTGAGAGAGAGAGAGAGAAAGTTTCATCAGACTGGGTCAAACTCATAGAATTTGCTAGATCTCTGGAGAATCTTGCATACTCCCCAAATCCTGTATGTTCATTTTTATAGACGAGCGAGCTGAGGCCTAAAGACAGGGAGCTCTTTGTGTGCCAGGAGTCACTCTCTTGCCTTACCCTGCCTCAGTCACTGGGGAGATAGCTTGTGAAGGCCAACTTAGGAGATCAGTAGAGAGCCCCCACGGACCATTCACACCCTGATCACAAAATGTTACAGATCACAAGGCTGATTTCCCTCAGCCAAAACTTTCCTTCTGCGGCCTGACCACCCTGTCATTGAACGTGCACATCTTAAAATGAATAAAAGGGAAAAACAAGAGCCTGGGACTTGATGCCTATCTCTCTTAAATATATCATACCTAGCCTTTGGGATTCTAATGGAAATCAATTATAGCACCGAGTGCACATTCATTTTGTTTGCCTAAGATGAAAATCTGCAGTCAAACAGAAACTGTTTGAGGATCTGGCTACAAATGTTGTTGCTATGACAACACCTGGGTTAGCATCACTCAGATGGTAGGATGACTTAGTATATTACCCTAGCTCCTCCTGATAGCCTCCTGTTATACACTGGCTTGATTTTATTAGTTCCTGTATGTTTAAGGCATTGCTATGCTCAGTAGCACATTGCTTAAATGCTAAGATTGAATTTGGTAAAAGGGAGAAGCCAGAAAAAAATGTTTTATTCTGTCGTGATGACTGAATTGAGAATAGAGTTGGGAATTAGTTGACTGGGATGATATGCCTTGAAATACAAAGGTAAGAGTAAGGATAATAGATGCTTTGGTGCCTGATCAGCTTCCCTTTATGGGTTCACTATCCCATCTCCCAGCTCCTATGAATTTTGGCTGATTGGACATTTCACTGCCCTTCTCCAGAGAATTGCCCTGAGACCATGAGAGTTCCCTTGCCTGAAAGGTTTTGTGAAACCTCTATAGCTCTCAGCTGATTGATCCAGGGTTACAAAAGCCCAGCCTCTTTTCGCCAAGGTGGAACGACTCTTGGGTGCCATTTGTACTGAAGAGCTCCCTGTAGGATCAGACTGAGGCTGTATTTCAACTAGAAACACACCCTACCTTCTTCCTCTGCCCCGCTCCACTTCCTTCATTCCCTTAGGGGTTTCTCCTGAGAGTCTGCCCTCAATCAGTCACATGCACAGGAATCCCCTTCTTAGGTTCTGCTCGTAGGAAACCTGACCTAAGTTAAGACATGCAACATTTCAATTGTCCAGTTAATTGCTTTGTAATAGGAACTTAAAGATGTTTATATTCATCACATGTAAAGCTGCTTCAAAGTCTTCCGATGAGATTTCAATATGTCAATTCTATATTATCAGTTATTCTCTCTAGTTTTTAGTATACATAGTGACTTAATTTTTTTGTTGTTGTTTAGGTATTGAACTTATCCCTCAAGTAAGGATAGAAGATTTAAAGCAGATGAAGGTAAAATTGCTTGACTATTCTGCAAGCACTCTTGTATTACACATATTGGTGACACCGATATATTTTTGTTTCTCACCAAGTGTAATCATTGTGATTACAAAAAAAAAAAAAACTATTTTTGATTCTATTTTTCTCCCAAAGGCTTACTTGAAGCATTTAAAGAAACAGCAGAAAGAGCTAAATTCTTTAAAGAAGAAACATGCAAAGGTACAGTGTTTTAAAGCTGCTATTTTGTGTTATGTATGGATGAATCATTTGTAGCCAAAAACACTACTTTGAAGCTGATACCAGACCATTTAACAGCAATAACTCATTCTAACTGGTCAACAATGAAATTAAAAAATAGAATCTGTTTGGGAGTGCTTGTCACTGGTTTGTAGTCTGCATTTCTAACAATTCTTTCAAATGCATAGCAAAGCTTCATCCATTTAAAAATTGTTTCACTAGGCCAGGCACAGTGGCGCATGCCTGTAATCCCAGCACTTTGGGAGGCCAATGTGAGTGGATCACGAAGTCAGGAGTTCAAGAGCAGCCTGACCAACATGATAAAATCCTGTCTCTACTAAAAATACAAAAATTAGCTGGGCGTGGTGGCATGCCCCTGTAATCCCAGCTACTCAGGAGGCTGAGGCAGGATAATTGCTTTAACCCGGAAGGCAGACGTTGCAGTGAGCTGAGATCGCGTCATTGCACTCTAGCGTAGGTGACAGAGTGAGACTCCATCTAAAAAAAAAAAAAAAATTAGTTCACAAATAACATGACTATATAAAATATTGAAGAGCAGCTCACAACTCTAGCCATTAGTTACCTAAATTGCCAGATCACTGTCACATAGTTTGCCATACACAGTGGTGCGTGGAAGGAGATGCTAGCAATCTCTCAACCTCCCACTCATAGCACCTAGAGAGAGAACACTTGTCACTTTTTCTCCTTTATGTAAACCTTGCCCAGTTGCCAGCCTACTTCTGAAATAGATTTATTCTTGCTTTTTACCCATAAGAAGTGGTCTTTTTTGACAATGATTATGAAAAATTATAAGAGCTAGTTGCAAATTATAAGACAACAGCAGGAGGTGGCTCCAGGAATTATCCTGTGGGTTGAAAAACTTCACGCCACTCAAACATCATCACTTCCAGACTCCCTCACAGGTAAAGAAGGAAAAGGTAGTACCTCTTTCCTTCCTAAAGACGTATAGTAACCAGCTGCTGCTGGTAGGATAATGTCTGTCCTCTTCTATTCAGGGCAATGAGAGCAAGAGAAACTTAATTTATAATTTATTAATTTGAAACAACGTCTGAGTTCTTTTAAACTAATCTTGCAGTCCTACTTCTTTATTCTCTGATCCAAGCCTCAAACCAAGGCATGTCTGTCAGAACTTGGCTTGAGTAATATACCTTTTAATCATTCCACATATTGAGATGCCGAGAACATTGTCTGGAAACCTGTTATTTCTTTAAGAGTTTGTGCTCCTTTGAGAAGCTGGGCCTACTCTTATCCTAGTAATGTTCCCTGTATTATTGAACTGCTGGCTCAATGGATTTGCTGATACAGTCACTTCACTTCAAAGACTGTTTGTTTCTAAGTTTCATAAATAATTCCATTCAGTGAAATTCCTTACATTGCTCAGTGGGGTTATTGGAGACAGAACAATTTAAAGTAGGGACTTCTTCAGTGTTGTTGGTTATTGACAACAGGCTGAACTATGGAAAGTCAACAGAAAAAGAGTAAGCATGAGAAATAAAAAAGAAAGCACCTTAAATGACTTCAATTATTAGGAATAGAGTGGGTGCCCGTATGCTGCAGCACTATCTAACAGATTTTTCTTGCATTTAAATTAGATCTCTTTCATTGAGCAGACACCTCAGTGGCCTTTGGGCTAGTTGGAAACATAGAGATTTTGGCTTCATTTAATATTTTCTTGAGGCATGGCCAGAAAATATGCTGTGATGGGTGGTAATAATAGCAACTAGAATTCCTGCATGCTCAGTAATTTTCAGATGCTGTACTCAGCACTTTACATGCATTGTCTCATTTAACACTCTCTACCCTATAAGGTAAATTCTATGTGAGTCTCTATTTACATGTGAGGGAATTAGGAATTAGTGAAGTTATCTGATGTCCCAGAGTTAGGAAGCAGCAGAGCCGATATTTGAACCAAAATCAAGAGTCCAGAATCCATACTCTTGCACCATTCTCCTGTGTAGGATATGGGATGCTTCACTAAGTGGACAAGTTCCCTCACTGGGTCAAATGCAGTGATATCACCTGGGACATTATGGAAAATCATTATCAACTTTGGATAGAGTTGATACATTGCTGATTATCAGGACTGTGACTAAGAAAGGATGCTCCTCAGTTTGTAGAACTTAACCTACATCAAAGTTGTCTATTTACTCCCTGGAGCCATCAGGCCCTGCCCAAGCTAACTTCTAAGATGAAGAATATAATGAATATTTACTTGCCTAATATATACTGATGCCAGCTCTGTTAACATGTCTTTAGGCCAGACATGGTGGCTCATGCCTGTAATCCCAGCACTTTGGGAGGCCAAGGCAAGCAGATCTCAGCCAAGGTCAGGAGTTCGAGACCAGCCTGGCCAACATGGCAAAACCCTGTCTCTACTAAAAATACAAAAATTAGCCAGGCGTGGTGGCGGGTGCCTGTAATCCCAGTTACTTGGGAGGCTGAGGCAGGAGAATCACTTGAACCCGGGAGGCGGACGTTGCAGTGAGCCGAGATTGCACCACTGCACTCCAGCCTGGGTAACAAGAGCGAGACTCTGTCTCAAAAACAAAACAAAGCAAAAAAAAACAAAACAAAAAGGCAAACAAAAGAAAAACATGTCTTTAAAACTGAAAACTGAAAAGCTGGTTAAAGAGAGGGGCACAATGTGGTGAATCTATTACCATTGGACATACTTCATGCCTGATCTCCATATGACGTGTTTATCCTAACACTGATTTTTCTGTCAGTCAGCACTTTTAAAGTGGCAATACTAGCTTATACATATTCATACTTGCTTAAGCGCATATTCTTAGGTATTCTCATAACAGTTATATAAAGGAGTACTATAATTATATGAGTATATGAGTTTTGTATCGGTTAGCTTTTGCAGGGTAACAAACCACCCTAAACTGTAGTGACTTAAAACAAGTGACTTAAAACAATTTGGCTCACAATTTTGTGCATCAGCAGTTGGAGCTGGGTTTAGCTGGATGGTTCTTCTGGTCTCAGCTGGATTCACTCATGAACCTGCTGTTACTACCATTACTACCAGTTTGGTTGGCAGATGGGGGACTGGCTGATTTAGGACAGCCTCTACTAAACCACTTCCTCTCTGCTTTATGTGGTCTCCTGTCTTCCAGCAGGCTAGTCCAGGCTTGTTCACATGACTGGGGTCCCGAGAGACCAAGCAGATCACGCATGGTTTCTTGTGGCCCCAGCTCAGAACTGACACACCATCACTTCCACCTCATTTTTTGGCCAAAGTAGGTCCTAAGTCTGGCCTTATGAGGACTCTACCTTTTGACAGGTCTCAAAGTTACATCAGAAGTGGGATTGGATACAGAAAGGGAAATAACTGTGGCCATTTTTATAGTCTGCCAGCCATTCAACAGATTAGCTTATTAGTACTTAAAAAAAATAACTTCATTAAATCACCTAGTTTTTAAGTGGTAGAGTCAGGATTTGAACCAAATTCAGCCTGACTTGAGAACTCAGACTTGTAACCACTACACTCAGCTGCCTCTGATGTTTCCCACACTAATTTTTCTTCTCTTCACACATCTTTTTCTTTATGGTCTCAGTAACAGGTTTTTAAAAGCAATCATGAACCTATCAGGACACAGATGTCTTGGGTTCCTTCAGGACTGGTTTTTCAACATAAGGTCATTGGGCCAAGAGCTGGAGGCTTTACAAAAAATATGTATTCTAGTGCCTACCTGACACTTAGCTATCATCCCTAAGAAAAGAGTATAGGAAATACGATTTAAATAAACTCCTCTCCTCTGCATGCTAAATTTTGAGGACTGTTTTTTTAGGAATATTATGTAGCACTTTTTACTTTCTCTTGAGCCCTTAATAGAAACCCCACTAATTGCCTGCAAAGACGCTTATCAAGCCTCCCTAAAGAAACAGAGGTTTTACCCTCTTGCCGCATAATAGTGAGAATTAATTCCCCCATCCTTTCTGTGAAAGGACATCTTCAGCTCTTTTATAACAGTTTTCAGCCACCCAACATGGAGCTAAGGCTTACCACCCCAAAACCTTATGTCATAAAATGACCTGCTGAAGAAGAAATATGGCCTGGGCTGCACTCTCCCTACTACTGTACCCCTGGCCCAAACAGCACTTGGTAGCTAAGAACAGGGACTAGTATTTAGTCTATATCCAGCGACTGTAGGGAGATCTCAGCTCTTACATATTAGCCTAGATCAAGCTTGTCCAACCTGCAGCCCCCAGGCCACATGCAGCTTAGGGTGGCTTTGAATGCAGCCCAACACAAATTTGTAAACTTTCTTAAAACATTGTAATATGTATGCATAGACCTTTTTTTTTTTTTTAAGCTCATTGGCTATCGTTAGTGTCAGTGTTTTACGTGTGGCCCAAGACAATTCTTTTTCCAGTGTGGCCCAGGGAAGCCAAAAGATTGGCCTAGATAAATAATTCTAATTTTTAGATTTAAAGGGAAGCAGAGAATCTATGAACTAAATCTCAGCAGTTTAAGAAATAAATGTGTGGTCCCAAGGCCAGCTTATTTCCAAACTTGCAGGTTAACTACCAGATAGAAAAGGAACAGTGGTGTGAATGTGAAGTTCTGCCATTTGCAATTAGGTGTGTGATTTGCTGTTAGGATATTGAGAAGAAAAGATGGGGGTAATGACCATTTGCACCCCAAATGAATATAACAATGCTCATTAAAACGCCTATTTTTGGAAAATGGCAATAGTCAACTGCCTTTGACCCTCTGAGTGTACTGGCAATCAGACTTCTACTTGTCTCTTACTTTCTAGAACCACTTCAATTCGAAATGGAAACTAGGGCAATGGTTTTTCAAGTGTCTATTATATGAGACACAGAAAAAGGAGAATTAATTAGTAATAATCCTCCCCCAGCACATGACTCATTGGAATCCAGAGCTGCAGTTACTTTCATTAAGAGACAGGCATGCTTTTCAATTGTCCAATGAGGTCAATTTCTTAGGGCCAAAAATGTAAAACCCAAAGTTGGATACATATCTCCATAACATGTTAGACGTGGAATTACAATTCAAATGCCTATGGGGACCAAGCAGGAAGTAGCTGAGGGAAGTTGGCCAGGTGTTGACTCCACAAAAGCTGGGAGCACTCATCTCTATCCACAGGCCAAGTCAGACTGAGCTACCACCATTGGTGCCTGGAGAGTAGATGGGCCAGTCGTGTTCTCTTAGAGGAGAATCAAAAAATCAGAAAGCTTATCTGAATTTCCTGATCTTTTATTATCAGCCTCTAATTCAACCTCTTTTTGAAACCGCATAGGCAAAAAAACCCAAAAAAACAAAAAAAATCCCAAAACTAAAAACTACATCTGCAGGCTAGATACAGTCCTTAGGCCACCAGTTTGCAGCATCAACATTAAATGAGTCAAATGAAATGCCTGAGAAGCCTACTAAACTCTGGCATTTTTAGTAAAGCTACTGATGGAAAATTTTCTCTTTGCTATGCAAGCAATTTAGATGACAGCACCAACACTGTTGTTAAACTCATCCATTTTAATTCATGGTCAGACCTTAGAACCAGACCTATAACTTGGTTTTGCAGTGGAAAGGGGCAGAGACACAGCGGTTGCCCGCAGAGTCCACCTATTGGTAATCTCAGAGTTACATGTTGATCAAACATGATTTACTCCAATTTTTCAGCACCCTCTGTGGTGCGATCATTCATGCCCATAGTCACATCAGTCACAAGAATGAATTGCAGCGGCAGTTTTTCCCAGAAGAAGCTGAATTTACTCTTAACTTGGATAAGAAACATACACAAATTCTTCTAAATGCTGTACATGTTTTTTCCCCAAAATGTCCCAGTTAAGATTGACTTTAAGTCAACACATTTGATTTTGGTACTCTTGGCTTGAATGAATGAGAAATGTATGTCTCTTCCATAGTTTTTCATGATTTAACTAAGGACCAAAAGAATAAAATCAATAATGGACTTTTTTTTTTTCCTAAGCTAAGATGGACTTAAAGATCATTTCATGCCTTCTTCATTTTATAGCACAAGAAGCTGAGACTTGACCGGAGTCACATGGAAATCAGTAATTAGGATCCCTATTTCTTTCTGAAAGGAGAAGTAGTGTCTGGGCATCAAGTTATCCCGGAACACTTCAACAATGACTGCCTACCACACAGGGATGGAGTTTTGAGTAAAAAGAGAAACAGAGACAATTTTTCAGTACCAGCTTTCCTGTTACTGACATTAATTGTAATCACTTTCATTCAATATGCTTTCAGTTTTTCAAATTATTTCTGCATATGTTGGGTAACCTTGCACCTCATAAGCAACTCATGAATTAGGTTAGGCAAAGGTACCTAACTCAGTTTTCTTTTCTTTTCTTTTATGTTTTTTTTTTGAGATGAAGTCTTGCTCTGTCACCCAGGCTGAAATGCAATGGCATGATCTCGGCTCACTGCAACCTCTGCCTCCTGGGTTCAAGTGTTTCTCGTCCCTCAGCCTCCAGAGTAGCTGGGATTACAGGTGTGTACCACCATGCCCAGCTAATTTTTGTATTTTTAGTAGAGATGGGTTTTCGCCACGTTGGCCAGGCTAGTCTTGAACTCCTGACCTCAGGTGATCTACCCGCCTCAGCCTCCCAAAGTGCTGGGATTATAGGCATGGGCTACTGTGTCCAGCCCTAACTTAGTTTTCTAATAAAGACATTGAGGCCTGGGAAGATTTATATGTATTATACAAGGGCAGTTGGTTAATTATTGGCTGAGCTGGGACCACAGTCTAAGTCCTCTTGCTATTTTTCCCATGCTGACTTTTTACTCATGCAATAAATACTTACTGAGCATCTACTTTGTACCAAGCTTTGTGCCATGTACTGTGAAAGAGAAAAGACCTGCCCTGCCCTTGTAGGGCATATTACATAGAGTTGAATCCATCATAAACAACTTTGTGGTACAAACAGTCCCATTCCTCATATCTAATTGGATTAATAAGGTTCACCAACATATTTTCTTAGGATAAGATCTGTGTCAATTTATTTCCAAGCCTCAAAGTCTCCACTTGTCCTCTTCTGCACTAAAATATTTAAAGAAATAGTCTTCACCCTCCTTTCAATGATATTTACAAGATAATATAGGACTGTGGCACTTCTGATATATTTTGAGACTTGCAGAAAGCCCCTTATTTATTTATTTGTTTTTTTGCCCAGGAAAAATTAACACATGTGTTAGTCAACCATAATGACTTCTAAATCTTAGAAAGAAGACTAGGAGGAGGGCATTTTAGTAGGTACCAAGGTATTACAAGAGTAGTTAAATACATTCAGGGATACATCAATATGTGCCTCTATTCCTGGGGCAGTAGATCAAGTATGGAGGAAAGATTTATTGATTTAAGTAGTCTGATTGATATCCGTATCTCAAGTCACTCTCTGTATGTTATCATGGGTATTGAATAGTATAGATAGGTTTGTATGTCACTGTATTTGGAATAAGCTGTAATACACATTTAAAATGTGATTTACATTAGATTTACTTTTAATCCTAACAACCCTATAAAGTAAGTGTCACTATCCCAATTATAAAGATGAGCATACTCTGGAAAGGTAAGTGACTCGCCCCAGGACTGAAGAACGCATGTCCTTAACCCAGTGCCACATTGCAGAAGCTCTGGCTGAAATGTGTTTATTGGACAAAGCTGCACACACATTGGTAATATGGCTAGATTTATGGGGCATTCCAATAACAAATTAAGCAAGACATTGTTACTGTAAGCCCAGATCACAGCAAGTCCACCTAGCCTTTGTCCCCACTGTTAGTTCCTATGTTGGGAATCTTCCTATCCAGCATCACCCTTCTCCACTCTTTCTTCTAAAGACAAGAATGCTGAGGCCTTGTGCATGAATGCATTTCTAAAGAATTTGTATATAAATGAATTGTATGTCACATCCTGTGTTAATTCACTTAACAGCTGGGAAATTAAGGAAGTCTTGGTAAAGACTTAAAAATTCCTTCCCCATTTATATGTTATGAAACCTTTAAAAGAAGTTCATGAATTAGATTTGCATAAAGTCAAGCCTACCTTAGAAAGAAAATAAATTTGCTTTTAAATTAAGTCACTCATTTTTTTAATAAGTGAAAGGAAATATGACTGTGAGAGGGGTTATATAACCAGAACAACAGGTACACCCATTCCAGTCGTGAATAGCATCCCATTTCTCTCGTTCTCAAGAGTAAGATTAGGCTATAACATCAAGTATCATTTAGAGTTGGAACTTTCTGATCGTACTGATTTCCTCTGTGCTTGGGAGGCTGAGCAGCTAAAGAAATCTGATTTCATATAAGTCATTGGCTGTAGCCAAATGCCTTTTTCATTGTCCAGGAAGAAATAATGTTTATATTGAAATACCTACTTTCCAAAGCATTGCAGCCCCAATTTCAATGATTATGTGAAGCAGATGGGAAAATATTTTAAATTTCTGTAAAACAGAAGACCATAGTCCTGACACTTCATCCTCATAAACTGCATCTAGATAAGTAAGCCAGTGAAAATATTAAGTGATGTAGATTCAAATTCAGCTTCTGGTGACAAACACAGTGATGACTCTCGTTATATAATGATGGCGTTCAAGAGCTCCAAAATGTGCAGATGTTTAGAAACCATGTCACATCATGAATAGTTACATTTAGCATATACAAGAGAAGAAATATGGTGGCTGAACTTGCATGTTTGAGGACTAATGTGTGGAAGGGGCAGTAGGCTAATTACATGCCTCAAACAGCAGAACAGAGATGAATGGGTGGAAATACTACAGAGATGTGTATGTGTAGAAGAAAGGACTTCGAGATGATTGGCACTACCCACTGCTGAGCAGGGGTGCATTTGAATTCGGCGTGTTCACTAGACTGAGGCTAGAGACTCCCATGTTGGGAATGCCCTTGGACAAAAAAACTGGTGTTGAATGGGAGATCTGGAATCTGCACCGTTCTCAGATTAGGTTACTCCTTGACTTTCTAAATGAAGACTCTAGGGAAGCTGGAAAGTTATGCCAGCCCTATGTGGTGTGAGCCATGCTAAGAGTCCAGTTCATAACTGCAAATCCTTCTTGTTCAGGAGCACAGTACCATGCAGAAGTTACACTGCACGCAAGTTGACAAAATTGTGGCACAGTATGACAAAGAGAAGTCGACTCATGAGAAAATCCTAGAGAAGGCAATGAAGAAGAAGGGGTAATACTGTTTATTTCCTTCTGAAGACTTTCTCTATGTTTATATTTTGTCTTTTCCCACAGTTTTGCTGCTGTTTAGGTCAAGGAAGAACTTAGTGTTAACTTGATTTTCATCATTAAAAATTATCCATGGAAAGTAAGAAACTCATTCATTTTAAAGCTCTAACATCATAACAGGTTAATGAGTGGATGTAGCTTCTGGTTTGGGGAAGGTTCTCAGCAGAGATTCTGAAATCTTTTAATTCATCATAATTAGTTCTAATATGAGAAAGAAAGCTTAGCCTCAAATAATTGAAAAAAATACCTCTTTACTCTGAGAATTGATTGTCCTTTTTAATTTTGAACTAATTTTAAATTTACAGAAAAGTTGCCAAAATAGTACAGAGAGTTCCCTTATACCCTTAATTCATTTTCCCTAAATGTTAACATCTCACATAATCATAGTACAGTTGTCAAACCAGGAAACTAACAGTGGTACAATACCATCAACCAAGCCACAGTGATTTTTCACATTTTGCCAGTTTTTCCACAAGCGCTTGTTTTCCACTCTGGGATCGCCTCCAAAATTGCACATAGCATTTAGTTGTCATCTCAGTATATGATAATTCCTCAATCTCTCCCTGTCTTTTGTGACTTCAACTTTGAAAAAGGCCGGGCAAGTGGTCTGGAAAAAGGCCCCCCCTTTGGAATTGGCCGAAAATTCCCAAGAAGAAAAGGAAGGTAAGCAATTGGGGCAAACCCAACAACGAAACCAAGCCGCCTCCCTCCCCAGCCAAGAAAATGGGGGGGGGGGGGGGTGACACTGATATGTCCCATTATTGATGATGTTAACCTGGATGACGTGATTAAGGTGGTATCTGACAGGTTTCTGCACTCTCAGGTTACTTTTTTCCCTTTATAAATACTTTGGGGAAAATTCCGTGAGACCATGCATACATTCTATTTATCTGAGAAATTATTTTTCCTCCTTTTGACCTTCCCCATGGGTTCTCTCTGTTTTTTATCTCTTTCCTTCAATCCCTGCTGATGTATTCTAGTTTTCCACAACCTTTGGCACGAGAGAAAAGGAGAATGAGATTTCTTTTTCATACTTGGGTTTTTTGGTGTTTGGTTTTTGTTTTCTATTTTTTCTTTTAACAGTCACTCAAGATATACCCAGAAAATTAAGGTCTGAAAACAGAACAGATTATGGTGGTTATAATTTTCTTGGACATTGGTTCATATTGCTGAAATTTCAGATCCCAAGATCTAAGTTCATGACATGAAACCAATGTAATTTGCTTGAGGAGTAAATGGTGAGTAACTAAAATGCCTGCCCTGGACTCAGGCCTCACTATTTGAGAGGTACCTTCATTTTTATTAAAGTTGTATTTTTCAGAAAAATACAAATCAGGCACTGATTATTGAGCATCTGTTATTATGTATCATCTGCCTTTTGTTTTCCCCCCAGGTTTCACTGTGTATCATTGAGGCAGAAATGTGCCTGTTGCTTAGAAAACATTTTGATCTGTATTTTAAGTGAGTGAGTCACCCACCTCAGAGCTCATGTGGCAATATTGGTAGTGATTGCAGTAAGTTTTGAGGAGCTGTGATTCTTCTAGATTGTAACCACATCAGCTTTGGCCTATTTCTTTTTAGTAAATTAATTTTTCATATTTAATGACATTTTAGGCTATAATATTGAAAGTGATGGTGACATAGACTCTAATACCAAGGAGCAAATTGTTGACAACTTTATAGTACTCTCCAAGAATAAGGTTATTTGTATTTACAAGATACCTTTTCAAAAAATGTTTCACGCATTTTTGTGGATCGGTGTATTTAGAAACACAGTTTTGGCTTAACCAAACCAAAAATCTTTATTAAGGAGATTTCAGACCCAAGCACCATAGAGTAAATTTCTTTGCTAAAAATAGTATTACAATTTTTGGATTCAATCAATCATGAGTGCTACCTTTAGAAATAAAAAAAAAAAAACTGATAAAATATATCTTTACCTCATGATTGTTTTTACTCTCAAAGATAATGTGGGATCAAAATGTAATTTATTATAAACTTGATGGTTAATAGAAATGTTCCTGGTGTGACACTTAACCCCCGAAACAGGCTATTGAGTCCTCTTGGAGGTCTCTCAACAAATAAAGCCCTGTTTTATCCTAAATGTAGGTGAGACTGGGAAAGTCTAACCCGTAGATTTCTTCCTGAGCCTGTGCTGTCAAATGCAGCACTCCTACCAGGCTCTCCACACAGAGCATTTCCAAGTACTCTAAACAACAGAATCTTAGCAATACATTAAAAGGTACTTCAAAATCAGACAATCAGACATCAGATACTTTCTTCTGGAAGCCATATCTGAGGAGAGTTTCTCATCATTAATATTGACCGTGGTATCAAGATTGCCTGGACTTGGTCTTGCTATGTCGCCCAGGCTGAAGTGCTGTAGCACAATCTTGGCTCAATGCAACCTCCATATCCCAGGTTCAAGCAATTGTCCTGCCTCAGCTTCTTGAGTAGCTGAGACTACAGGCACATGCCACCACGCCCAGCTAATTTTTTGTATTTTTAATAGAAAC